CTCGCTTGAAAAGTTTGGATCTTTGAGAATAATTGAAGTCTTTTAGCCCCCACCCTCGCGTTTTTACTGTTGGACGATTTGAAGAAATGAAGTCTTTTATCCTGCGCGGGGCGTTTTTGCCTAACGAATACACGACATCTTTTAAATTTTGCCGGTTGATTACAACATTTTTCATATGCTTATGCCCAGCTTGCCTAAGAAGATTTCCATAATTGGAAAGTACATCCATGCGGTCTGCTTCAATATCCGAAAGAACCCATGCATCCTCCTTACCTACACGCAGCTCCTGCCACTTGAGGCTCTTAAACGGCTTGTAAGCCATAAGATAAAAATCATAGGCCTGAAATTTGACAAGCAATTCATCCTCGTACTCTGTAACTATGAAGACATCCTTATATGATTCCTCATATGGTAAAACGTGGAGCCCGCAACATGCTTTTATTCCGGAGGATATTTCTTTCCTCAAACCATCAACGAAAGAAGAATACATCTGCTTGCTTGATCCAAAATACAGGCGCCCAAGCACCCTATTCAATCATGGACAAAAAATAAATGAAAATAAACGAAAAGATGCAAACTTTATTGAAATAAATAAAAAGATGCAAGCTTTGACGCATAAAGCTCGCATCTTTGATGATAAGAAAAAGTTTGCAACATTTAGACAAATAAGCACGAAATTGATTTCTAACGCATCACAAGCAATATATTCAATCCTAGACATAATAAGAAGAAAATAAATGAAAATAAACAAACAAAAAATGCAAGCTTCATTGAAATAAATGAAAAGATGCAAACATTGACGTAAAGCTCGTATCTTTAATAATAAGAACATGTTCCGCAACTTTAAAACAAATAAGCATGAAATTGATTTCTAACACACATCACAAACAACATATTCAATCCTAGACATACTACAAGAAAATAAACAAAAACATATGCAAGTTTCATCAAGCAAAGTACGAAGTTCAGTTTGAAAAACATAAATAACAGAAATAAATAAAGATAAGGCCCCAAGTTTTATCATGGGACTCTGATACCATGTTGAAACATGTAAATTGAAAATGACATAAGGAAAAATGATATTCACATTGATTTCACAGAAAACATTTTTACATGAATAATGTTCAACTAGTACAACTCTCGTGTATTACACGAGTGCTTGCTAATTTTTTCTTAAAATAAAAATTAATGAAAAAAAATAGTTAAGAATTTAAATACTTTTTATAAAAATATATACATTATTATATATTTAGTATGACACTTTTTATTTGTTCGACTTACCTGTGTTATATTATAATAATTTTTTTAACTTAAAACATATAACTACATTAAACATAAATATATCAATTGAGAAATAATTTTATTTTTCTAATGAATTTTAATAAATATAATTATCTTTTATTATTATAAATATAAATATAATTTATTTATTTTAATATATACAATATGGATATCAAATCGAAGATCATCAAAAAATGATTAATTTGATATATTATATTTGTAAAACCAATAAGAACTACAAAAGTTATCAACTTTTAAAATGCAATTACAATTCAATAGCTAATTGAAGGAAACAAATCAAAAGTCGGGGATATATTAGTCACTTAGTGCCTCACTATGTAAAATTACAAGGAACTAAAGGGTTATATTAGTACAAGTGATATTAAAGTACCTCAAAAATTCTATGGAGCCATCGGATGGTTTTCTTATGGAGCCATCCATGACTTAGTGTATTGACACTTGTCCAAAGTGCATTTATTGTAGGACACGTGTCAATACACTATTTGTGAATAATTGTGGATGGCTCCATAAGCCGAGCCATCCGATGGCTCCATAGCAAAACTGTAAAGTACCTAAGTTAACTAAATAATATTTATAGAATGTCCGAACTTAGATTATTAATTATTAATATATTAATATTATTTGTCCAAATCTAATTACGAAGCATTATTCTTCGCCAAGTAGAATTCCGAAGCACCAGAAGCAGCCAAGTAGGCTCAGCACATTTGAGAGTTATATATACCAAGGATGATGCGGCTGCTGCTAAGCTAAGAAGAATATATATGTGGAGATAAATCAAACCTAGAAAAGATAAGGTTTGGGAAAAAGTAAAAAGGACAAGGTAAAATTCAAATAAAAGTAATAAAAAAGGAATATGCTAAGATGAGGTGTAATTTGTCTTTCTCTAATGAATGAAGCCTGCATGGGGCCGGTTTCAGTTGCATGGGACCGGTTTGGATTGTAAGTTGACCACACGGCAGATGGCTTTATGGCAATCTCTGCAGGGGAATCACGCCTCCGATAGGCTCTGTGCTGCCCCTATTTCCGGTTTGGGGCAGACTATGAATGGTAGGACCTTTCGTTGTGTTTTGTGTTATCCCTTGGCATTCCCCTATTTTCTATTTCGACGCCTTGTTCTGCTTGCTCCAGGGTTTTCGAGGGCGATATTTTCGGTGATCATGTTGTATCCTGTGCTGGTGTTGTTGGTATCAAACATCGCCACAATCTGGTTCGCGACACTCTTGCTGATATTTGTTATCGATCTGGTATATCTGCTGGCAAGGAGGTTGACATTGGCTTGTGTGATGAGCACGACAAACCCCTCCGTCCTGCGGATTTGTTGCTTTACTTTTGGGATGGGGGACGTGATGTTTGTGTGGATCTGACAGGGTCATCTCCTCTGACACAAACCGGGATGACGGACTTTATGGCTGGTCGAGCAGTTCGAGATGCAACGCAGCGCAAGCGCACCAAATATTTGGGTAAGTACGAAGCAAAAGGGTATGGCTTTCTACCTTTCTCTTTCTCTTCCTTTGGGGAGCTGGATGATGCGGCTGTTTCTCTACTTCGACGCATTCAAAAGTTCTCCTTAGCCCAAGATACTGGAGCAAGGGCTGCTGCTCACATTTATACTAGAATAGGCTTTGCTATAGCCAAAGGAGTGGGAGCCCAGATTGTATCTCTGCTGCCCACTAATTTCTTGTAAATAATATTAATAATAATAATAATAATAATAATAATAATAATTCTGCATCATTATATATGTCATTTTTTGCTTAAAAGATAGTCATATTATGAATGAAGCTTTTCAATGGACATAAGACTTCCGTTACGAAAAATTCACTTTCATTTTTCAGTCACTCGTCCTCTTCACAACTTTTGATTCAAATTCGAAGAAAACGAGACTGCATTGCCAAGGAAGCACCATTTCGACGTAACTAAGATCCTCAACATGCTCGATTTTGAAAAGAAGCAACGCATATTTTCATGGAATAAGTGAAGCATCTAGCTTTTTTTTTTTTTTTTTTGTCATGACGACAGAAGATATTATAAATCAAAATGCATAAATATGCGAATACACATCAGCCAACGACTGAATACACATCAGCCAACAACTGAAGAAGTGGGAGGACACGTCAGAAGACCGCCTAGAATCCCGACTAGCAACGCTAGAATAAAAGCTCACAACTAAACAAACCTACAACTCAAACAACTAAAACAACTGAAAAGACCCCAACAGGGTAATACCCGAATGTCGGATCCCAACAGGCTGAAGAATAGGCCATCTTAAAAAACATTTTTTCTTAAAGAATAGGCTTCTCATTAATTGTTCTTCTGTGTAGGCTGATTCATAATGCACTTGAAGACGAGGAGTTTTCACTTACAGAACGTTCGCTTTTCCATATTTGTTGCTTTTCCAGATTTGTTGTAAGCAACGATAACACTTAAAGACCATTTCAGGAGTGTTGCTCATTGCCTCATTCTCTCTTTGTTTCTTTCTTTTCTATGGGGAAAGTTTGATTTTAGTTAAGTTTAGTGTAAATTGTTGTGATGCGAAGCTGCTTTTTATTCAATTGATGTCTATAATGGTAGTTCCTCCTTTTCAATGCAGTGCTATATAATCGTTTGTCTTTTCCAACTTACTCTGAGTTCTCGTTACACTGGACGTAGACCTATAAACGAGCCATGCTAATTGAGTTGATAAACAAGCTCAAGCTCGATTTTATTAAAATTAACGAGCTTTAATGAGCTGAGTCTAGCTAGTAGTTCGATCAATTACATAAACAATCGATTTCTCAAACATAACGAGTTTTGACAAACCAAGCTTCAGCCCAACTCGTTATTCTAAACGAGTTTGGCTTAAATAGCTGAGTTGAGTTGAGTTGAACTTGAACCGAGCCAAGTCGAATTGAGCCCACAAACTGCTAGGTTCACATGGGCGATTGGAACTTGGAAGTATATTTTTTTCGATAAAGTGAGTTAAAGATTGGAAAAAAATTGATGCAAGTAAAATAATTAATTAATTTTGAGTTAGTAAACGGATATTAAATACAATATGATGATTAAAAATTAATAAACAATAACTATAAGTAACTGTAAGTAAAAATATGTTAGTGAAAATTTTTTAATTATACTAATAATATTGAGATTGTTGAGTTGGATTACATGAAGAATAGCGAATCATGAATTAAAAATTTGTATCCAATCCTAATTCCGTTCTAAAAGAATTATCCAATGAGACAAACCGATCGAACTAAACAACTCCAACCGGACGAAAAAGATCTTCGGTTTTTGCCAAAGAGATCAAACTCATCCTTATTTACATTAAAAATGAAAAATGCCACAAGTACATAATAAATGTACATAGAAGTGTACATAAACTCACATAGAGTGGGGTCCACTTGATTTTTTAATTTTGGTAGGTCTCACTAAATGTGAGTATTATATACACCCCCGTGAACAATATTATGTACCTATAGCATTACTCAAAAATTCTGAAAGCAAAAGGCATTGCAAGAATTCGAATATCCAGACTTGCCCTCTTAGTAGAGAATAGGGGTAAGATTACAGTAAACAGAAGCATGAAAAGAACTGCAAGTCTTCATATTCCCAAATCATTATTATACCAATCTGAGAACCCTTTTTTATGTGTTCAATAAATCACAACTACGCATCAACCAACATTCATCATCAGTATATACTCACAATCAGCAACAGCACTAACGGAGACCAACTGTAGAGCTTTTGCTAACAGACTTCGGTTTTTTGACAGTAGATCTTTTGCCAAAAGACTTAGGTTTTTTGACAGTAGGGCTCAGTACTCGATCAATAAGACCGTATTCAACTGCTTCCTTACCGTTAAACGTCTTCAAATAACTTAGGTCCTTGTAGATCTGCATGAATATCATCCCACAAGAAAAAAAAAAAAAAAAAAAAAGGAAAGTACGGACAGTTATCTCCTTAAGTACCTATTTTGCGAAGTTGGGAGAACCGAAAATTGGTAAATAAGAAGATCGGAGTTTAAGTATGTACCTTATCAATAGGCTGGCCAGTTTTTTCGGCCAACTCCTTAAAAAGATAGTCTCTTATCCTTAGAAGTTCATTTGCCTCATTTTGAACATCATCAGACTGTCGAAAGTTTTCAGAGACATGTCATAAGCTTTTTCTAAAATTGAAAAAAAAAAAAAGAAAACAAGAAAGGCTTTACAGACGGGTATAAATATAAGAGAGAAAATAAACAGAGGGAAAGATCAATGTACCCTGCCACGAGCAGCGCCTGCTGGAGACTGTAATACGATATGAGTGAGAGGCATTGAAGTTCGACTACCCTTTAACAGAATAAAATAGATATAAGATGACAATATAAAAAAAAAAGCCTGAATATGGATATTATAATCTTGAAGACACTAAAATCTATATGGTGTGAGAACGTAACCATGAAAAGCTGGCAGTTAGTTTGAAGTGATGCAGTTCATTATTGTTGTTACTATAACCTGGCCTGGAAAGTAAAAATTTTCGGCAGAAAACGAAAAATACCTTATCTCCTGCAGCAAGTATAAAAGGTGTCAGACCAGATGTATAGCCAAAACAGTGAGTGCCCACACGAGTTCTCAGGGATTGCATAGTATCATAGACAGCCATGGTAGGAGAAAGCTGGCGATGAGAAGTAAATTTTAGCAAAACAGTTGAGAAGGAAAACTAAAATGACATAGCACAAAAATTGAAAAAAAAAAGGAATAAAAAGGGATCAGATATCTCAGACTTAATCAAAAAGGTAAAATAATTTATTGATGTGAGTATTTAAATAAAGAACTCACATCTCCTCCCGAGGAACTTATGAATACATAAAGCTTCTGATCGTCATCGATAGTATCAAGGTACAGCATTGTGGCAAGTATCTCATTGCCGTAGTTTTCAGTTATGTGTTCCGCAAGGAAAACAATACGTTCACGATACTGCAGTAAACAATCGAGTGAACTTCTTTTCTGATTAACTCAATAAAAATGAAGTAACCGGGTCGAGGCATATTGCAACCGTTTTTATATCAATCGTACAGTGAGTGAAATAATTTTTCATTCATCTTCGCATAAAAATCAGCAAGTTATTGTAGCCCTGCTCAAGTAATAAAGGCCCTGAATTGATTTATGGATTATTATCTGATCAACAGTTTCTCCTCAAACTCTAATGTCAACTACTACATAATCAGGCAATTCTGAGATGATCTCTCAAATTCCAAGTTCAAACAGTAACAGAGACCATGAAAAGGTCCACGGGTTTTATCAAAATAAAAGTAGCTAACATAACTTACAAGAGCATTCCACAAATCAAGAATTGACCAACTTCCGTCCTGATGGTTGAGGTAAGCAACTTGTGGGACTCCTATTGGCATCATAGTAACACAGGCCCTAGTTGGTTTACCGCATCTCCTAGTGGATAAAATGAAGCAAGAAAATCATAAACATACACAAATCCAAGAAAATGGAAGTTAAATGAGAACTGTATGTGTAATTTTGGGAAAATATATATGCAATGATTCAGAGAAGGAGGAGCTTTCTAGGCATATGAAGCACCAAAATAAATGTTTGTTTGCACTCTCTGACTTTCTATATTTCACTCTTCAAATGCACCAACATGTAATATTGGACACTGCAAGTAAGAAAAACACATAATATATTACAGAGGAAAGCAAGAAACTGGTTCATGAAGTCATGGCCTAAGATAAGAAAGGTGCACATCACAGGTAATACGAAAGTAGAGAATTCGAACGGGGAACAAATATATTTAGGCAAGAGATTGCAAGGTACCATCCAAAAGGTATCAAGATGCAATTTTTACTATAACAACCGGGCGGGCAGCCAATTCGAGAGTATATATTATTGAACAAAAGGGGAATAAAAAGTCCAAAATCATCGGGTTATTTCTGCTGCGGTGGACCTTACAGGACAAAAACAGGCTACATATTTTCTGAGACTAAACCCCAGAATGAACCAACAGACACCATTATTTACCTCGAGTGGACGCTTTTATACACTTTCACGTGAAAATCAACAGTCGAATTGGGCTTCCTAGCCCCACAAAAACCTGTGGAGTTTTAACAGAACAAGTGAAAACAATTCCCAAAACTTCATACCAAGAAATCATCCCCACGGACGATTACGAAGAAGAAAAATGAAAACCCAAACGAGATCGGGATTAAAAACACCGACTTGATGAAACCCTTAAGCCCTCGAAACCTTTGCCGGCACAGCTGCAAAAGGGCGATGAAAGATTACGAAAACTGCAAATATGAAAAGGATAAACCTACGACATTAAAGAAAATTCAGCTTGCATCGCGACAAAAAGTACCTGAGAGAAGGCTGAGGAAGACGAGCAAGTCTCGCATTCAGGCACGAGGCAGACGTAACCGCCATTTGAGAGCTGCGATGAACTGTCTGTGAGCTTAGAAACGAAATGATAGGGTTTGGGTCTTGCTGGTTTAATTGGTAGGGAGGGCCGGCTCAGTACTGACCGAACCAAGTGGCTTGGTTAAGTTGCAGATAATTTCAATTTAGTCCCCAATATTTGCACTTTTAGCACCCCCTAAGTCTAGGTTATTATATGTTGAGCTGGAATAAAACTATTTTAACATAATTATGAAATAATATAACAAATGAAAAAAAATGGTGTGGGTGTATGTTGGTTGTTGATTATAAGTTAATGAAAAATTGCTATAAGTATAATAAATGTACATAGAGGTACACATAATACTCACAATAGTTGAGAAGGAAAATGTATATAGAGGTGTACACCTCTATGTACATAGTACTACAGTATTATGTTCACCTCTACAAGTACATAATACACCTCTGTGAATTCATATTTTATATTACTGTAGTACGATTTGTAACCCTATAAATAATTTGAATTCACAAATTTACACAATAACTTCTTAGCAATTTTAAGAGACAATTACAGTGAAAGTTGATTTGTAAACATGTTGGTAAACATTAAATAGTGTATTGCCCAGTTCGTTGCATGTTCGACTAGGTATGCGGTTTGTATGCCCATCATGCACACCCGTATCTATATGGGTAATATGGGGTATCACATCAGGTAAACAAACTCAACAAATCAATTGGCCAGGCTGGGCGGACAGGTTGGTCGAACAGAAGCACAAGGAGACTGAACTGAGGTCGAACGTTGTTACTGAATAAGGAGCCCTCAAGTCGATGAAGACACCGTAGGTTGAAAGAGACATTGACGAGTCGAGTTAGGGTTCTCGGACGGCTTAGTGGAAACTCGACCTGAGGGCATGACTGATCGTGTGATCGCCCAGAAAAACGATGCACGAGCTCAACTTATGCAACAGTCTATCTCGAGGTGATTCCGACTAGTCGCACGATTAGGTGGTCTAATAAAACAGACTAATGGATAATAAGTAATATTAACATGATAAGGACCACATATGAATAGGGCCACATGGTCTAACAGAATTGGGCAATAGGGAAAGTACAGACGAGCTGTCTGAGCAGCTCGCTCGGACAGTCTTGGACAATAAGGCAATCTCCCTATAAAAGGGGGTGAGGCATGCCATTTAGAACATTACACTCGATATACACTTACATATTGTTCATCGGTTTTTTTACATCTCTAACTCAAACATCAGAGGCTCTTCACGGAGAACTCCTCCGAAATCGAGAAAAACATATCAGGTCAAACTGAGTCGGTCGAGTGCCTTTTATGTACCATTAGGTATTCATGTTTCGGCTAATTCCATATCAAATATCCAATGGATGTCATCAACCAACGAGACGCATACCGTCTCTTTCTTTGGGAAAGGGTGAGAGAGCTAATAACTTATTTTTATAAACTTCTGCAACAGTTTTGATATGGAATTATCGTATTACACGACTTATGGAGCTATCCACACTTATTCATAAATAGTGGATTGACACGTGTACTACAATAAATACACTTTGAACAAGTGTCAATACATTAAGTAATTGATGACTCTACAAAATACATATTGTTCATCGACTTTTTTACATCTCTAACTCAAACATCAGAGGCTCTTCACGGAGAACTCCTCCGATATCGAGAAAAACATATTAGGTCAAACTGAGTCGGTCGAGTGCCTTTTATGTACCATTAGGTATTCATGTTTCGGCTAATTCCATATCAAATATCCAATGGATGTCATCAACCAACGAGACGCATACCTTCTCTTTCTTTGGAAAAGGGTGAGAGAGCTAATAACTTATTTTTATAAACTTGTGCAACAGTTTTGATATGGAATTATCGTATTACACGACTTATGGAGTTATCCACACTTATTCATAAATAGTGTATTGACACGTGTACTACAATAAATACACTTTGAACAAGTGTCAATACATTAAGTAATTGATGACTCTATAAAAATACCATCTCATGGCTCCACATAAAATTTGACTAGTTCAGAGCTCGTGCGATGCACATAGTGGACGATTTTATGACTATTTACACAACCTTATTATTATATTTGCGAATAAAGTTGGAAAAAATAGAAAAAAAATATATTATATTTTATTAAAAATCTCATTCTAGACAACCTTTTTTTCCTTACATTCATACCATTATTAAAAATCTCATTCTAGAGAACTATATTCAATTGGATTTTAAGTGACATATTGAGACTTTTAATATTTGAGACTCTTTAAGATTTTCAGATTTTGGAGAAATTATGTGATTTAAATCTTGAGGTGAGATTTGAAGTGAGATTTCATATAAGGTTT